TGCCAAATGGGCAGGTAGCGCAAAACTTACGTGCTTCGCGTTCCTTAGCCTTAAGTTTACATTTCCCTGTTCGTCTAATAAACCTTCCATGATCCGGAAGATTCCGTTTATTAGTAACAAGTCTCTTTACTATATTACAAAAATGTTTCGGCTTAAAGTTCCTTTTACCAAACAATCCTTTCTATTTCATATGGTTTTTCAAACCTTGATGTTTAGTCGAATTCTTCGACTCACAGCCATATTGTCCTGGCACTCCATCAAAGTTTTGACAACAAGATTTGTTGAACTCAAGCCTTTTTGCTTCTTTATTCAACTTGGCGTTCAAACATCTTATTCGTACGAGTTGTCTGACAGCTTTTATTCCACCTCCCAAAGAATCAACAACCTGATTCTTTTCAAGTAGAAGCTTAAACTCCTCGTTTGCTGCCTTATCCCATCCTTGGGGAAGCTTAGCAAAGAAAGTATTCTTCATGACTTCCTGTGTGCCACCAGGCAACTGATAAAAATAACGTCTATATTCACAGACGAAATTTTCAAACAGACAAATGTCACAAAGCCTAAGCTTTGTCAAAGCTTCTAAGGCAACTATTTTTGCAAGATTCCTACTGGTAATAGTTATCCCAGTAAAGTCTCTACAGAGCATATCCTTGAAGAGTGCAAAAATAGCCTCTGCATTCTTCAAGTCCCTTATAGTATCTAACAGACCCGTTCCAGCTTCCAAACTTCTCCAAAAGCTTCCTGCAACTCCTTGCAGAGTAGATCTTAGAAACCTGTAAGTATTACTGAGTCCAAAATTCTTATTTTACACATGAACCCAGTTAACAGTTTCCCATGCTTCGATTGCATCTGCCACGTTTGTAATACAATCGATGTTTAGGAAACTTCAACTAGAAGCTATCTCCACCATTCTAGGTATTCCCCTAGGTATAAATTCTGACCTTATCCTTGTGGGATAAGTAGGTTTATATTTGGGTTTAGAGATTTCCTTAAGGAATCCTTCGAAAGAATTTAAAGGATTTCGAATTCCTTCAAGTGGATCATCTTAGATTCCCTAAGTCTTGAGATTAGCTCATCGAGCTCCACCTTTTTAGGACATGGAGTAATTTTCGATTCTCCAGTTTCTTCTCCTTTTCTTTGTTTCTTCATTTCTTCCTCATAATACATACTGATTCGTTCAGCATCTGAGATAGAAATTTCCGGAATATCAACCTTCCATATTCCATCCACCTTAGAAACAAAGTCTTATTCCTTTACACCTTTCATAAAGAGTTTTTCTGCCTTTTCCCAATCACCTTGGGTTTCTTTAGCTACGAATTGTGCATATCCTAGAGGTAATCTAGGGTATTTTTCCTGCAGACTAGCTGTAAACTGATCTAGAACATCTTGACCACCCATGATCAATCTGAATCAGGTCTTAAGTCTATCGCAAAGTCCGGCTCTTTATATGGTTCAGGATTCGAATCCGACTGGGATTCACCGTACCAATAAAGAATTACTGCCTCAGCTTTTTTCAACCACTTATTCCAAAGTTCCAGCTCGGCAACTTCAATGGTTGAAATCCGACAAATAAAACACAAAATCTTTGTGCACTCTTGACTAAAAGCCTTTTGGATAACGCCCAAAAGTCGCTTTACACCTAGCCAAGTTAGATACTCTTCTCGAATATCTGGGTTGCCGTTACAGAGGTCTAACACAACCCGTTTAACCTCTTGTTCAGTATATACTTCAATAGGCCACACTTGCTCAATGTCACTTAAAACCAGGGACATCTCTTATTTTACTGACTTAGTAAAATAGTTAAAACACGTTCCAGTGTTTTGATCTTTTGAAGTGCAGAATTAACCTTTTCAATCTGGTTTCTGATATGGGTTAATTCTTTGTTTAGAGCAAATATACCATACACCGTATAATTCACTCTCTTATCTAAGTTTTCAAGCTTCTGGGTCAAAAGCTCTAACTTATCTATGACAATATTTAACAAACCGATTTCCGGTTTTACCTCGAGTCCATGATCCAAATGAAAACAAGTCTTTTTCTTACAGACTTCATCATTCGAACCATTATTCATGCCACAGAACTTTCAACAGGTTAACAGGACTAGATCCCCCATCTTCGAAAGCTCTGATACCATTTACACCCACAAATAATATTTGTTAGACTACTTTTTAATTTTTTTTTTCAATTTTCTTAAAAAGTTTTTCTATATTCTTAAGATACATGAAGTTTTTATCATTTTTTTTAATTGATACATACACAATTTTATGGATTATTTTTAAAATTATTTGAATTACAAATTTTATTTTGTAAACTTACAATAATACCCTTAGCTATGTTAAAAGTTAACAGTTTTTCACTGTTAATTGTTTCTTTTTGAAAGAAAATGAAAATTATGTCCTTTTAACTCCAAATGCAATTTTTAGTGAGACTTCATTTTTTTTTTTTTTTTTTTTTTGTATTCGGCCAGCTTACGTGTACCTCAGCTAGTCCCCCGAGATCTTAAAGTTAACGACCAAGTAAGCTCCTAGTGACTATCCCTTATTAGTAGTCGTAAAGATACAAATTTAAGACCTTTTGAGTAATACACTTAAGAGTCCCAAACAAACTGTCAAACTATCTACAGATGGCTACTATACTCTTTTTTCTTGTGAACGGAATATTTACTAAATCTTGTAGGTGGGACAGTGTGTTTTCCCAGCCCTTTTTTTATTTGTCTTTTACAATCAACTTTATTAAAGAGAAATTATATTTGACCCGACTGTTTTCTCACTATATTCTTTTATCATTTCAAACTATATCCTATACAGGGTATTTTAATTATGGATGAGAATTGTATCAAGTCATTTACAGAGGACTGATTAAATTGTCTACCTACTTTTGACTATTTCGAAAGCATTCCATTTCTTTCAAAGTGAATTATCGGCTTTGCCACCTCCTTTTATGAGTAATACTATGCTTACTCACCATCTTACTAACCATCTTATTATCCTTTGTAAATATAACGTATAGTACAGATACTATACATATAGTATGGGTACCATGTATAATTTTAACAAAAATAATAAGGTGGTTAGTACAACTCGTGAGTAAGCATAGTATTTTTCTTTATTTTAATATAAAATATTTGGCAGAAGAGAGTGGAAAAAAAGTTTTGACTGTTTGAATATATCCTTTCTTCCAATCTTTGTTGGTCCTTACTCACCCAGAAGAAAAGCAAACATAACTCTCTGGTCCTTGAATACATGGGTATATTATTTCTATTAAAAAATTATTTAACAATTGATTTAATTAATTAATTAATTTTTAGTATAAAATTATGTTGTAATTTGAAATATTATACATGGGTATATTAGTCAGTGTTTTTCTACACAATCAACTTGAAAAATAATCTAATTTTTATAAGTTTTCTAGGGTAAATTTTCAAACTTTCTTAAAAAAAAAAAAAAAAAAAAATTGTTATTTTATAATAAACTTTACATGTTAATATTTTCCAAAAGAAGTTTTACCAGACACTTCAAATGTTTTAGCTTAAGAATGAATTGATTAATTCCAAATTTGTGTCAATCTCAAACACTTGGATGTGTGGATCATCAGAAATCTATATCAACTTGGAAGTTGGAACCTTATTGCACATGTATCATTTTGAAATTAACGTTACTGCACATGTATCTTATTTTTTTTATTTTTTTTATTTTTACATAGCATGCTAAGCAGTTTCACATGTCCAACTATCATATAATATACATTTCAATAAGCTTAACGGTGTGCTTTCATAAGTTTTAAACTATATTATAAACATCTATAAATGCTTAACAGGAGAAATCAATAAAATAAATGATGTCATTTCGAAATCCTAAGTGCCTTCACATGTCATTACCGTCTTCCAAGATAGTGCACTACACTTAGTCTATGTTATTTTAATTTTAAACCTTTGTAGGTGTTGTGCCTAATCTGCTGACGGTCAGATATGTGTCACGCGTCTTTTGTGTGTATGAAAACATGGGTCAAAAACATTAGACAGACAATGATCCGAAAAATATGCAGAAAAGATTCTTTGATCAATTTTTTAATTTGGTCTATATTGTAAAATTCCAACATTTTTGAAGAATGTTTAGTTTTAAAGTTTAAGTTGAGTAATTTATGCGTTGATTTTTTATACATTTGTATTTTTAAGATAGAAAGAGTGGTTTAAAAGAAAAATACTTGAGTCTTAAATAATAAACTAAATATTATTTTATGACATGATATTCTTTAAAAAAAAAATGCATTAGATATCTTAATAAACATGTAGAGGAAAAATATATATTAAATAAAATATTTGGTAGAAGAGAGTGGGAAAAAAGTTTACTGTTCAGTATATCCTTTCTTTGTTGGTCTTTACTCACCCAGAAGAAAAGCAAACATAGCACTCTGGTCCTTGAACGCAGCTTTTACACAGATATAGCGATTGAGGTGCCATTTCCTTAAACTTCCAAAACCAATTCCTTTGAGTACTCTTAACTATTATTAATTTTCTTTCATTTTGTTAGCCTTGCTTTCTATCCAGTATCCATAACTATCTTCAAACCAAAAAAAAAAAAAAAGATTTTTTGTTCATCGAGCTTTTTCACATAATCACATTAGTTTCGGCTTTTCTGATCTTACTGTTTGTCATATTCTAGTAGTTCTCTTGTCTGTATTTCTTTTTCTCATCTTTCTTGCTTATTATTTCGATCGTTTTCTTTTTCAGCTTGTTTCTGCTGTTATATTATTAGCTTTGCTTTACATCCAGTATCAAACATTGTTTTCAACTTCTCTTAATCCTTTTTTGATTTTATTCCCCATATTTCTGGTATCTGCCTTCTTTTTTTTTAAACATTAGTTTTAGAAATTTTTTGATCTCATAAACATTTCTAGTATATCTCTTTTTTCAGTATTTCTTTTTTCTTGTCCTCCTAAGTAGCGTTTGTCAGTGGCTTTCCTTGTTTAAACCACAAAGAAAGAAAAAAAAAAAAAAAAAAGTAATGGCTGAAATCGCTACTGCTGCTGGTTCCAAAGCTGCAGAAAAAGTTACAGAGACTGTGTATGATTTCATTTGTCGGAAGATTTCCTATGTGTTCAAGTACCAGAAGTATATGGAGAAGGCAAAGGAACAAGTTAAAGAGGTCAGAAGTCGAAAACGAGATGTGGAAGCAGATGTTGACGTTGCTGAAAGACAAGGGGAAGAGATTTACAATGAAGTTAAAGACTGGCTGAGGGGCATGGAAGGTTTCATGGAACGTGAAGTAAAGCTCGTTGATGATGAAGATAAAGCAAAGAGGCGCTGTTTCAGAGGGCTGTGTCCTAATTTGATGAAACGATACAGGCTCAGCAAGGATGCAGAGCAGGTGGCAGAGGATGGAGCCAAGCTCTTGAAAAAAGGAAAATTCAGTGGAGTTTCCCACCCCGTTATTCTACAGAGGACGGAATCCATATTTGTCGGTGAGGAGTACGAGCATTTTCACTCCAGAGAGTCCAATTTCAACGATATCATGGAGGCATTGAAGGATTCTACTATTAACATGATTGGAGTGTACGGGATGGGTGGTGTGGGCAAAACCACACTGGTCAGAAAAGTCGCTTGGAAAGCAAAGGAAGATAATTTATTTGATGAGGTGGTCTTTGCTGAGGTAACACAAATTCCGGATCTTAAACAAATTCAAGCCGACATTGCTGGTCAATTGGGCATGGTATTTAGAGACCAGGAGAGTCTATCTGGAAGAGCTGATCAATTACGTTATAGGTTGAAGAAAGCCAAGAGAATCCTTGTAATTGTAGATAATATCTGGAAGAAGCTTGACTTGAAGGTTGTTGGGATTCCTTTTAGCTATGATGATAAAGGTAGCATCCAGCAAGACAAGAAAGAAAGCGACGATGAGCAAGTGCGATGCACAATATTGTTAACAGCTAGAACACAAGTTGTATTAAAACAAATGAATACTCAGAGGAATGTATCTGTTAAGCCTTTGGGTGATGGTGATGCAAGAAATTTGTTTGGGACCATTGTTGGTGATTTAAAAGATAAATGTGATATAGCAGCTGAAATAATTGAAAAATGTGCAGGTTTACCGCTTGCAATTACAACAATTGCAAATGCTTTGAAAGGTAAGAGTGATTCTGTCTGGAGGGATGCGTTACGTCAGTTAGAAAATTCTAATCCAAGGTGTGTTCCAGAAATGGATAACACTTTATACTCAACTATTGAATTGAGTTACGCATTGTTGAATAGTGAAGAAGCCAAATCACTGCTTCTACTTTGTGCTCTTTCTGATGCGGGTAGTGATATATATTTCATTTACCTTCTGGCATATGGTATGGGGTTGGGCTTGTTTCAAGATGTTTATACGATTAACGATAGAAAGAATAGAATCAAGTCGCTGATTGATTATCTCGAAGCTTCGTGTTTGTTGTTGAAAGGTAACCATAATGAGACAGTCAAAATGCATGACATCACTCATGTTGTTGTTGCATCAATTGCCAAAGAGAAACGTATGTTTAATATTCAAGATGCCGATGGCTTTAAAGAAGTGTTGGTGAAGGGAATGTACAAAGATTCTATTGCAATTTATTTGCGTCATGGAGACATTGATGGGCTTCCTGAAAGGGTAAACCATTTTTTTCAAGGGATGATGGAACTCAAGGTTCTACGTTTGCTTGAAGTTCATTTATTACCGCTACCCTCATCCTTTCTTTGTCTAACAAACCTTCAAACATTGACTCTGGAGGATTGCACTTTAGGAGATATAGCAATGATAGGAGAGCTAAGAAATTTAGAGATTCTTGTTTTTGATGAATGTGAATTCGAACAATTGCCTGAAAGTTTTAGACAATTGACGCAACTAAAGTTCTTACAACTGACCGATTGTCCAAAGCTTAAAGTAATCACACCAAATGTCATAGCCAGCTTGTCTCGATTAGAAGAGCTATGTATAGATAATAGCTTTGATCGATGGGAAGTTGAAGGACGGAATAACGCTAGTCTTGCTGAGTTGAAGAGATTGTCTCAATTGAACACTTTATGGATACATATACCGAATCTGCAGATTATACAACAGAACTTTGTACCTGGGAATTTAGAAACGTATAATGTACATATTGGAGATACATGTGAGTGGTCTTGTGAATATGAAAGCCCGAGAACTTTGAGACTCAAGTTCAATAGAAGTCTTCATTTGAGATATGGGGTTGAAATTTTGGTGAAGAAAGCTAAAGATCTCTATCTAGACCAGGTAGATGGCGTTAAGGATATACTTTGGGAACTTGACGGAGACGGTTTCCCACAATTAAAGCGTCTCTCTGTGAAAAACAGTTCTGAAGTTTTGTATATTGTCAACTCAATGGGGTGCAATCCTTCGAATGATGCCTTTCCAATCTTAGAATCATTGCTTCTTATTAATCTAAGTATTATGGAGAAAATATGTTGTGGCCTAGTCGATGCAAAGTCTTTCAGCAAATTAAGAATCTTAAAAGTAGAAAAGTGTGACAGGGTAAGGTATCTCTTCTCTTCCTCCATGGCTTCAAACATCTCGCAGATACAAGAAATCGAAGTAACTGATTGCAAGGAGCTAAAAGAGATTTTTGGTCAAGAAAGTGCAAAACGTGTTGATGAAAACGAAAGGAATTGTAAGATTGAGTTCAAACAATTGCACTCTCTAGTACTACAATGCCTACCACAATTCACAAGTTTCGGGTTGAAGGTATGGTTTGCCTTTTCTTTTCATTTTTTGTTTATTTTACTATAAAATGAGCTGTTCTTTAATTAGTTTCTACGTTATTTAGGAAATGAGATTTGTTTCTGTAGGTTGTGTTGCCAAGATTGGAGAACCTGAAACTATCATCGATTAATATTGAGAACATATGGGTTGATCAACCTGAACCAATGTCTTCCTATATTCAATGCTTAAAAAGCTTAATTGTGGAAGAGTGTAATGGTTTGAAGTTTATGTTTTCATCCTCTATGGTCAAAAGTCTCGTGCAACTCCAAAAGCTTGTGATATGCAACTGTAAGTCCATGGAAGCAGTAATATTTGACTCAGAAGGTTTAGAAGGAGAAGATAAGATAATTGATTTCATAAGTTTTCCAAAACTATTCTACCTAAAGCTTGAGGGTCTTCCAAAACTCACAAGATTTGGCACCGGAAATTCAATTGAGTTCCCCACCTTGAATGAACTTCACATTGGGAGTTGCTCTAATTTGAAGACATTCTTCCACAAATCTTTTGGTCCAGACATGCTAAGAAAGGAACCTGAAGAAGTGAGCTTGGAAAAACATATTACTGATATAAATCCCCTCTTCAATGAAACGGTAAAGCTATTTCTTATAATTGAAATTTTATGTTGCCTATTGGCCTCAAAATTTTAAAATTCTTTATAGCTATTAATGTCACCATTATCTGCAAATAATTAGTAGAAATTCACTTATAAATTCTTTTGTTTTCTCTTTTTCTTTTAAAAGAAAGACAAAATTTGTTTGATATGTTTTTATTTTATATATTATTTTAGTATCATTATCAGTACCAAAACATTAACATAAGGAGATTTTTTTTTGCAGGTTGCTTTTCCAAGCTTGGAGAAGATGATGCTCTTTCACTTGGATAACTTGCAGTTGATATGGCACAGCCAACTCTATGGAGATTCTTTTTCCAAACTAAAAAAAGTGAGAGTCGAATTCTGCGAAAAATTAAGGACTACTGTTCCTTCTAATTCTACTCAAGGACTTCTTACCTTTCACAATCTAGAAACATTAATTATTGAGAACTGTTGGAATATGAAAAGTTTGTTTCCAGTTTCCATAGCTACTGGTCTTTTGCAACTTAAAGAGCTTTGGATTTCCTCTTGTGGGCTGGAGGAAATTGTTGCCAAGGAGGAAGTAGATGGGACCCCTACATTTTTGTTTCCTCAATTAACCTTCCTCAAACTTCAAAATTTAGCAGAACTGAGACATTTCTACTTGGGTTTGCATACAATAGAGTGGCCAATGCTAAAATGTTTGGTGGTGTATGATTGTGGAAAGACAAAATTATATGCTTTAGATGGAGAGAGCCAACCTGCCATGTTTTCATTTGAAAAGGTATGACTTCGTCTATTGCAACTAAAAAATGCAACATAATCATCAAGGTTAATTTATGAAATTTCTTTCTTTTTGTTATTATTTCATTTTTCTCTTTAAATCAAGAATGAATTTATAGGAACAGACTAGTCATGTTTCAGAGTAAGACATAATTTATTGATTTAGCTACATATCTATTTTTGTTAATTTATATAATTTTTGTACTTTAAAGTAGTTTATAATTAGAATGTTAGAATTATATAATTTTGAAACATATAATTACTATAATTAATTGGAAAGTTAAATGGTTATAAACTGAATTGCAACTTTCTTCTAAATTTAAAAACCTGACTCGTGAATTAATTGATGAATGAATATTTTTGCTTATTCATTGATTTTCAGGTGACACCCAATTTGGAAACCTTGGGTTTAAATGGTGATTACATTACATCCAGGTGCCTTGATCGTATTCCAGCTAGAAGCTTTTCGAAACTTAAATTTCTTAATTTGGCTTGCCTTGATAAGAAGTCCGTAGCATTTTGGTTTGGTGTTCTTCAAAAATTGTACCATCTGGATTCACTCTGTCTATATGATTGTACTTTAGAAGAACTATTCCCATGTGAAGGATATTTATGGAAAAAAGATTCCCAAGTGGACACATTTCTTCAAAATCTTCAAACTCTGAAAATATGGAGATGTCATCGTTTGACATATTTAATGTCATCCTCCACAATTTCCTTCAAAAACATTCAGAATTTGGAAGTCCATTATTGTAATGGATTGGCAAATATATTAGCATGCTCAGCAGCGAGAGCTCTTGTCCATCTCACAACAATCAGAATAACAGAATGCAAGTTAGTGACAGAGGTAATAGTCACTGAAGTAGAGACAACAGAAGAAGAGATTGTTTTCAGCCAATTGAAAATTCTGGAGCTTCATTGTTTAACAAGCCTCGCAAGCTTCAGCTCGGCCAATTGTGCTTTTGAATTCCCATGCTTAGAACAAGTGATTGTTAGTCAATGCCCCAATTTGAAGATCTTTTCCCGAGGAGGCTTAAGCACACCAAAATTAAAGAGAGTACGACTAACAAAGGAGATTGACGAAGAATATTTGTGGAATGACGACCTTAATTCCACTATCTATCAGATGTTTACAAATATGGTACTTACTCATTCCAAATCTTTTTTTTCTTTTGCATTGTTACTATTGATATGATTATATATATATATATGACCATCATCACTAATATTTTTATTGTCATTATTTTATTATTTAAAAATTAGTAAGAATACAACGACAGTGCCAAAATCATGACGTGCAAGAGCTATTATCTTCGATAACTAGGCTGTTAAATTCTCAAACTCCTTTTCTTGCAACAATCCATGATCCCGGCCTCCACAACTATTGTAATTAAAAAATTTGTAATTGCAAGATTCCATATATCTCATATATATATATATATATATATACATATATTATTTGGATCTTTTTTACCAACTTGGTATCGAAAGATTATTCTGTAAATTAACGAATGAGATTTCATGTTTGATAATCAACGTACTCATTCAATATCGTATTCAAAAGAATTTCTTGAGAATAAAAAATTTTAGTTTTCTACTGTAGGTCTTACTTGATTGGGTCCAAAGCCTGTAATGCAAAGGTTAAAAGTATTAGAACTACTTATAACTAAACAATATATATAAAACCTAACCAAATGAGAAAATAAAAACTAAGAAACAAAATCATATATATTTTTTTCTTGTGAAAAATTGTGAAGATAATATAATTTTTTTTTTTTTTTTTTACCTTCTACAGTTATTATTTCCTTTTGCATTTTATAGAAGTGGATATAATTTTTCATGCCTATTAAATAGCTAAAAATTATTGTTAAATTGTTCGACGTATTTTGTGCACAAGCTTTGGGTGATTTTAATTATTCGGTACATAAACATTATTAAAATATAACATTCCTATTACTATTTATTGGAAAGTGTGTTTTCTTTTTCGTTTTATTAAAAAAAGACATATTAGTATGATAAAAAAATTGTCTTCTCGTGTCCTTGCCATTATTTGTCCTTAGGAACTAATCTTAAAGTCACCCTAGTCAATGTTTTATAACAAAGAACAATAGTACAAGGAGGAAACCTTTTGTTAAGAATATAAAATTTGTAATAATTAGCAACTGCCCATGTTAAAATCTCAGTGACTTTTTGATGTCAATCCACATTGTTATGCTTTAAATAATTTATTTTTAATTTTTTATATCTTTGGCCACTTGTGAATGGTTTTAACCAAATATTTTTTGTTTGATAGGTTGGTTTTTCCAATTTAGAACATCTAAAGCTCTCTGAATTCCCTACATTAAAAGAAAGATTTTGGAATGCCGAAGTTCCTGCCAGCTTATTCTACAGTTTAAAGTTGTTGGTTTTGGACATGTGCTTGGACACGTCAACTGCTATTCCATTCCATGTGTTGTGCAACTTAAAAAATCTTGAAAGATTGGAAATAAGAAGTTGTGATTCACTGAAAGAAGTGTTTGATATGGAAGGACAACCAAATGTTGATGGACATGCATTGAAGAAAAGTCATCAAGAAGTTTTGGACTTGAACAACCTAAAATCCTTTGAAGTTCACAATTGTTGTAGCTTGAGACATATATTTACTCCATCTATCATTTTGGGTCTTGCTCAACTGAAAGAGATAAGAGTAATAAACTGTGCTTTGATAGAAGAAATCATTTCGAAAGAAGAAGAAAAGGAAGCATACATTGAGAAAATTATGATAACCCAGTTGAACTTCATTATTCTTGATTCATTGCCTAACTTGAGGAGCTTCTATTCAGGAATGAACACTTTGGAATGTCCTGCCTTGAAAGCTATTATAGTAGCCAAGTGTCCACAGATTGAGACATTTGTTTTTGCTGATATAAAGCACCAATCTGACCATATTGTGCCCCTTTTTAGTGAAAAGGTTTGTGTGATTGAAATTCTTTCATCACTGTTTTAATTTTATTATCTTTATGATAATTTATGTTTTTTGTAGGTTGCTTTTCCAAGCTTGGAGAAGATGATGCTCTTACACTTGGATAACTTGCAATTGATATGGCACAACCAACTCCATAAATATTCCTTTTCCAATCTAAAAGAAGTGAGAGTCGAAAATTGTGAAAAGTTGTTGACTATTGTTCGTTCTAATTCTACTCAACGACTTCTTACCTTTCACAATCTAGAAACATTAATCGTTGAGAGCTGTTGGAATATGAAAAGTTTGTTTCCAGTTTCCATAGCTACTGGTCTTTTGCAACTTAAAGAGCTTTGGATTTCCTCTTGTGGGCTGGAGGAAATTGTTGCCAAGGAGGAAGTAGATGGGACCCCTACATTTTTGTTTCCTCAATTAACCTTCCTCAAACTTCAAAATTTAGCAGAACTGAGACATTTCTACTTGGGTTTGCATACAATAGAGTGGCCAATGCTAAAATGTTTGGTGGTGTATGATTGTGGAAAGACAAAATTATATGCTTTAGATGGAGAGAGCCAACCTGCCATGTTTTCATTTGAAAAGGTATGACTTCGTCTATTGCAACTAAAAAATGCAACATAATCATCAAGGTTAATTTATGAAATTTCTTTCTTTTTGTTATTATTTCATTTTTCTCTTTAAATCAAGAATGAATTTATAGGAACAGACTAGTCATGTTTCAGAGTAAGACATAATTTATTGATTTAGCTACATATCTATTTTTGTTAATTTATATAATTTTTGTACTTTAAAGTAGTTTATAATTAGAATGTTAGAATTATATAATTTTGAAACATATAATTACTATAATTAATTGGAAAGTTAAATGGTTATAAACTGAATTGCAACTTTCTTCTAAATTTAAAAACCTGACTCGTGAATTAATTGATGAATGAATATTTTTGCTTGTTCATTGATTTTCAGGTGATACCCAATTTGGAAAACTTGTGTTTAAATGGTGATAACATTACATCCAGGTGCCTTGATCGCATTCCAGCTAGAAGCTTTTCGAATCTTAAATTTCTTACATTGGCTTACCTTGATAAGAAGTCCGCAGCATTTTGGTTTGGTGTTCTTCAAAAATTGTACCATCTGGATTCACTCTGTCTATATAATTGTACTTTAGAAGAACTATTCCCATGTGAAGGATATTTATGGAAAAAAGATTCCCAAGTGGACACATTTCTTCAAAATCTTCAAACTCTGAAAATATGGAGATGTCATCGTTTGACATATTTAATGTCATCCTCCACAATTTCCTTCAAAAACATTCAGAATTTGGAAGTCCATTGTTGTAATGGATTGGCAAATATACTAGCATGCTCAATAGCGAGAGCTCTTGTCCATCTCACAACAATCAGAATAACTGAATGCAAGTTAGTGACATAGGTAATAGTGACTGAGGTTGAGACAACGGAAGAAGATATTTTTTTCAGCCAATTGAAAATTCTGGAGCTTCATTGTTTAACAAGCCTCACAAGCTTCAGCTCGGCCAATTGTGCTTTTGAATTCCCATGCTTAGAACAAGTAATTGTTAGTCAATGCCCCAATTTGAAGATCTTTTCCCGAGGAGGCTTAAGCACACCAAAATTAAAGAGAGTGCAACTAACAAAGAAGATTGATGAAGAATATTTGTGGAATGATGACCTTAATTCCACTATCCATCAGATGTTTACGAATATGGTACTTACTCATTCCAAACTTTTTTTTTTTTTTTTTCCTTTTGCATTGTTGCTATTAATATGATTATATATATATGACCAACATCACTAATATTTTTATTGTCATTATTTTATTATTTAAAAATGAGTAAGAATACAACGACAATGCCAAAATATGAGGTGCAAAGGCTGTAATGCAAATGTTAAAAGTATTAGAACTACTTATAACTAAACAATATATATAAAACCTAACCAAATGAGAAAATAAAAACTAAGAAACAAAATCATATATATTTTTTTTCTTGTGAAAAATTGTGAAGATAAGATCATTTTTTTTTTTTTTTTTTTTACCTTATACAGTTATTATTTCCTTTTGCATTTTATAGAAGTGGATATAATTTTTCATGCCTATTAAATAGCAAAAAATTATTGTTAAATTGTTCGACGTATTTTGTGCACAAGTTTTGGGTGATTTTAATTATTCGGTACATAAACATCATTAAAATATAACATTCCTATTACTATTTATTGGAAAGTGTGTTTTCTTTTTCGTTTTGTTAAAAAAAGACATATTAGTATGATAAAAGAATTGTCTTCTCGTGTCCTTGCCATTATTTGTCCTTAGGAACTAATCTTAAAATTACCCATAGTCAATGTTTTATAACAAAGAACAATAGTACAAGGAGGAAACCTTTTGTTAAGAATATAGCAACTGCCCATGTTAAAATCTCAGTGACTTTTTGATATCAATCCACATTGTTATGCTTGAAATAATTTATTTTTAATTTTTTATATCTTTGGCCACTTGTAAATGGTTTTAACCAAATATTTTGTGTTTTATAGATTGGTTTTTCCAATTTAGAACATCTAAAGCTCTCTGAATTCCCTACATTAAAAGAAAGATTTTGGGATGCCGAAGTTCCTACCAGCTTATTCTACAGTTTAAAGTTGTTGGTTTTGGACATGTGCTTGGACACATCAACTGCTATTCCATTCCATGTGTTGTGCAACTTAAAAAATCTTGAAAAATTGGAAATAAGAAGTTGTGATTCACTGAAAGAAGTGTTTGATATGGAAGGACAATTAAATGTTGATGGACATACATTGAAGAAAAGTCATCAAGAAGTTTTGGCCTTCAACAACCTGAAATCCTTTAAAGTTCACAATTCTTGTAGCTTGAGATGTATATTTACTCCATCTATCATTTTGGGTCTTGCTCAACTAGAAGAGATAGAAGTAAAAAATTGTGCTTTGATAGAAGAAATTATCTCGAAAGAAGAAGAAAAGGAAGCAGACATTGAGAAAATTATGGTACCCCGATTGAACTCTATTATTCTTGAGTCATTGCCAAACTTGACAAGCTTCTATTCAGGAATGAATACTTTGGAATGTCTTGCCTTGAAAGATATTACAGTAGCCAAGTGTCCACAGATTGAGACATTTGTTTTTGCTGATATAAAACACCAATCTGACCATATTGTGCCCCTTCTTAGTGAAAAGGTTTGTATCATTGAAACTTTTTCATCACTGTTTTAATTTTATTATCTTTATAATAATCTATGTTATTATCATCATCCACAGTTACTAGAAATTCAATTATCATGCATAGTTGAAAATAGTATACTTTTTTTTAGTGGTTTTTAAGAAGACAAAATTCTTTTGTTGAATTTAATTACATTAAAATTATTATTTCCAATATATTTCGGAAAGCTTACCTCGAGATGTTTATTGTAGGTTGTTTTTCCAAGCTTAGAGGAGATGTTTCTCTCACACCTGGATAAGTTACACTTGATATGGCACAACCAACTCCATGCAGATTCCTTTGGCAAACTGAAACAAGTGACAATCAAATTTTGTGAAAAATTAATGGCTATTGTTCCATCTAATAATAGTCAAGGACTTCTTACCTTTCACAATCTAGAATCGTTACATGTTAAGAAGTGTTGGAGTATGAAAAGTCTGTTTCCAGTTTCCACAGCTACTGGTCTAGTGAAACTTAAAGAGTTGAGGATATACTCTTGTGAGTTGGAGGAAATTGTTGCCAATGAAGAAGTAGAGGGGGGCCCTTCCCTTGATTTGTCTGGAAAGGTATGAATTTATCTATACTTTTTATAAAATGTAAAATAATCGTTTAGATTAATATGACATGTTCATGATACAAATTCTATGGTATTGCTACTAATTATTTCCATATTCCTTTAAATAATGTTCTTGCTAGTAAAAGACAGTCATCGACTGAAGTTTTTTCTCTTTTCAAAATAAATGGCAGTAAACTAATTGGTTGGTCTTGTTTCATTCTTAGATATCATTGATTTTTGTGAATTAAGAAGTTCATTTTTGTTAACTTATGTATTTTTTATTTTTTTTTAAAAGTATATTTATTTAAAACATATAATTAATTTAATTAATTGGGGAAGTTAAAAGTTTCACTGATTTTGTACTGATTACAAGCTCCTTTTTCAAATTTGTCTCTTCCTAATACAATTAGTTCCATTTAAAAAAAAAACAAAAAAAATTAGGTCAGATAGTTTTGCTTGCTTATGGTTTCCTAAAAATTAATCAAAAGAACTGACTTCTTGTTGGTCAATAACATGACATTGATACCGTATGTAAAAATGTTATTATATGTGTTTACCATATGCTCATTAAAACCTTCTTGCTTGTTCATCCATTTTGACTTACAGGTCATGCCCAATTTGGAATCATTGTCTTTAAATGTCGATGCCTTTAGACTGCAAACTAAAAGACCATTGGAGGGATTCTGCAAACTAAAAGAGCTTTGTTTGCGTGAATTAAATGATGAGTCAATTCCATTTTTCTATGGCTTCCTCAAAAGGTTATACAATTTGGAAATCCTTACTCTACGTAATATTAGGTCCAAAGAGCTATTCTTATATGAAAGAGACGCAACGAAAGAAGATTCTCAAGTGGATCCATTTCTTCCACATCTTAGAGACCTGGGAATATGGGAATGTCATGATTTGACACATTTATGGACATCCTCAGTATCTTTCACAAATCTTACAACTCTTGATGTATTTGATTCCAATGAATTGATAAACATATTTACATGCTCAACTGTCAAATCTCTTGTCCAACTCACAGAAATGTCAATAGGAGGATGCGGGTTATTGAAAGAAGTAATAGTAGGTGAATTTAACGAGATGGAAGAAGAGATCGTTTTTTGCCAATTGAAAACTTTGAACCTTCTTTATTTATCAAGCCTCACATGCTTCTGCTCAGCAACTTGTGGCTTCAAATTCCCATGCTTGGAACAAGTAACTGTGAGTGAATGTCCAAAATTGGAGATCTTTACTCAAGGAAGTTTATGCACACCCAAGTTAAACAAGGTGAAAAGAGAAGAAATGAGTGAAGAATATGTTTGGAAGGATGATCTAAATTCCACCATCCAACAAATGTTTACAAAGATGGTACATACTCATTTACAAAATCTTTTTATTTTTTTTACCACCTTTGCTATTAATATCGGTATATATGTCTTTATTACTATTACACTGGAGTAGATTAGATATCATTGTATAATTGATAATACTGTTCCATATTTGATGTATTACACTGGAGTAGATTAGATATGATTGTATAATTGATAATACTGTTCCATATTTGATGTATAATTAGACTAAATTATAAACACTGTTGAATTGATATTGATAATAATATAAATATATATTAATTAAAAATTCCAGTTCCCCTTAATAAATATGTGTTAAATTAAATAAAACCCACCCTGTATCTTTATTACGCTAAAAGCCGCCACATTTCATCTTGTTCAACTCTCCACTGCTGCAGTCACAAGAGGCCAGCTCAAGCGGCACTAGTGTTTCTAGCTAACGATGTCACAAGCCACGGAGCCACCGTCACCGGCGTCACTGATTCTAGCACTCTCTGTGACAAGCGGCAGGTAAGCAAAATCATTCTGCTCGACTTTTAAACTAGATTTTAAGAGTGAATGCTTTGTGTAATCGAGGTTTGATATTCGTGTTTTAGAACTCAAGCTTCGTTTGCTTGTGACTTTGATAATTACATTAACTGAAACTTCAGTTTGATGTTTGACATTTTTGTATATAAGACCTGTAGATGTTTTTGATTGATCAAGTTAAGTGATGTTGCAGAGTTGTTTGATAAAATGTTTGAAAGAGATGCATTTTTATTTCAATACAATGTTACTGGAAGATTTCTTAATTAAATTCATATAATTATGACATGAATTGAAATTACTTAAGAAAACAAAATTATTTCTTTGCACTCCAAGACAGAATGGATCACCAATTTCATTTTATTTGTTAAATAAGGCTCTGAATGGGGATTAAGTTTTTCAATTCTAGTGTAAGACATGGGTGCCTACTTTTACTTTATTTATATTCCTTGATAAAGTTTGATGACCAAATTAATGTCTGATTTATTTCCTTACTGATTCATTGGTGTAAAACTTGCATTCTTGCTTTTGACTATATCAGAGCTACTGTTGTTGCCTGCATATTCAGGATGATGATATACAAATGAACAAGATCCAAATGGGAGTGGGAGGCAACGAGACAGCTACGATTGTGTTGGGATTCCAGCAGAAAGGCTATCCCCAGAGAAGGGTAACCATTCTAGTGCTGTTCCAAGTCAGGACGTATGAGCTAATGTACTTTTTAGATTTTTTTTTTTTTTTTTTTTTTTTTTTTTTTTTTTTTTTTTTTTTTTTTTTTTTTTCCTTAGGTTTCTTTTTTTTTCTTTTTTTTTTTTTTTTTTTTTTTTTTTTTATTTCAGGATGGCTTCAACAAGCTTCATGATTTGGAGAGTTCATTTCTTCAGTTGCTAACAACTTCATCAATATCATTAACTGTCTTCCAGGGTAGTGGAATGTATTTTCCGGAAATTTTCAGTTTGAAATTGTTTGTGAATTTAGTGGAATGGAAAAACAAATGCTGACTCAAGAAACTTTTGTTTCCCTATTCATTTTTGTTACTTTCTAATCATTACTATTGTTATGCATTTGTGAAATAAAATTGCAAACGAGAAAAACCTGTAATTATTTTCTTCCCTTTATTGATGCAGAGTAGTTTTGATATTGCTAAGGATGATGAGGGTACAACTAGTCCTCGTTGAAAGGTTACTGCTCAATTAGATACTGAGCAACAGTTTCTTACAAAGACTTACCAGGGGCCTTCGACCAAGGAACTGGAAGGAGTGACGGTGAGAATTCAGGGAAAACTATCTCTTTACCACACCATGCCATTTCTGAGGATAAAAAGTTTTTGTGTGATTCACTAATACTCGTTAATGCTTTTTCTCTTAAAAAAGTTACATGTGAAGGGGACAGGTAATCTTGATTGTAATTGTAGCTATATTTTCTCCCTCTTTTTTATTTTTTTTATTTTTTTTGGCTACTGTAAATATGAATTTATGATTTGGTTATTTCTTCCTTCTTTGTTCAGTTATAAAAAAATAGCTATTATACTGTTCAATGTATACTATATAACTTTTCTCAGTTTACCTGAATTAAATTTTGACATGTTCTGCTTGCTTTTTCGGAAGTTGATCTGAATTCTTAGATATATTGTTTAGCTTATAATTATTCTGGAAATATTAGAGTAAAAGCACCTAAAAGTTATCGCATGCTACTTGTTCAAATAATGCAATTCTTAGATTCAATTATTCAAAAGGAATTAGTCTTTCAGTGTTCTTCCATATTGCACATCTTTATTTTTGAATGGGCTCTGTAAATTTGCTCATGTAGATTCATATATAGTTGTATGGAGACACATTAAACCTTTTGACCTATATGCCGCCTTCAATTTTATACCCTGTAGAAAGAATCATTTAAAGTTGTACTTAATTATTTTTGGATTGCTTTGAACCTATGTTGTGCTAAATGCCAGCTTAAAAATTCTAGGACACAAATGTTAAAATTAGAATAAGATTTGGTTTTTGGTGGTGACACATAATACACCATATCAAAATGTTTTCTTTGTATCAAAAGCCTGCCGTCTGCACAAAGCTATACATTGAATTTATATATTTATATATACGTTTCTTGTTTTGACAATATCAAAAGTACTGTGTTGCCTGCATATTCAGGATGATGATATACAGCAAATGGATAAGATCCAAATGGAAGTGGGAGGCAAAGAGACAACTAAGATTGGGGTTCCAGCAGGAAGGCTATCCCCACAGAGGTCTAACCACTCAACTGTGCTCTAAGTCAGGAGGTAGTATTTTCTAGATTTTTTTTCCTTAAATATTCATCATATTTCCTCATTTTCCTTTTGCCTGTTTTAGGATGGCTTCAAGGAGCTTCATGATTTGGAGAGTTCATTTGCTTCATTTCCTATCAAATCATTGCAAGAACTTAAGTAAGGATTATTTCTGTCTCATCTTTTCATCAATATCATTAAGTGTCTCCCAGGGTAGCGGAATGTATTTTCCAGAAATTTTCAGTTTGAAATTGTTTGTAAAATTGAGTTGAATGAAAAACAAATGCTGACTTAAGAAACTTTTTTTCCCCAATCCATTCTTCTTATTTTCTAATCATTACTTTTCTTATGCATTTGTGTAATATAAATGCAAATTAGAAAAAAAGACAGCATTTTCTTCATTGTAATTATTTTTTCCCTTTATTGGTGTAGAGGTTGTTTTGATATTGGTGAAGATGATGAGGGTTCAAGTAGTCCTATGTCAGTTTCTTTTAAGACCAAGAAAGTGGAAGGAGTGAGAGTGGGAATTCAGGGAAAACTAGCTCTTTATCTTATCATCCCATTTTGGAGCATAAAAAGTTGTTTGAGTGGTTCAGTAATATTCGATAATGGTTTCTCTCCTACGCAAGTTACATGTGAAGAAGACAGGTAATTTTGATCACAATTGTAGTTGTACTTTCTCCTAATTTATTTGCTACCAAGAGGTTGTAAATAAGAATTTATGATTAGCTAATTTTTCCGACTTAGTTCACTTAAAGAAAAATAGATATTATACTGTCCATGTATAGTTTTTTCTCAATTTATCTGAAAATTAAACTGTGACATATTCTGCAAGCTTTTTCCAAAGTTAATCGGAATTCTTAGATATATTATTTAGCTTCTTAGACAATTTTTCTGGGAAACTAGAGTAAAACCTCCTAAAAAAATATTGGCTGCTTGTTCTTGAATAATGCAATTCTTAGATGCAATGATTCATAAGGAATTCGTCTTTCAGTGTTCTTCCACATGTCACATCTGTATTTCTGAATGTGCTCTGTAAATTTGCTCATGTGAGTTGTGCAACTCACTCTTCTTTATTATGGATGCATAATATAGTTGTACAGAGATACATTAGGCACTTTGACCTATGCTGCCTTCAATTTTTGACCCTATTGAAAGCATGATGTAAACTTGGGACAGAATTATTATTGGGTTGCTTTGAACCTATGTTGCACGAAATGCCAGCTTAAAAACTCCAGAACGGAAATATTAACATTAGAACAAGATATGGTTTTTGGTGGTTACACATGATACACCACATCAAAATGTCTTTTTTATATCAAAAGCTTGCCTGCTTTCTGATGTCCGCACAAAGTTATACACTGATTGGTTGTTTCTTTTTTTTATTATATATATATTTTTTTTCCTTTCCATATACATGAGTGAAAAGTTTTGACTATGTCTACTGAATAAGTTTGGTCTCTTGAAATTATTTTGAGTGAATTCTCTACAGCCAAAAAATAAGTCGAGAGGAAATATGGTGGCTCATTGTTGTATTGCAACAGGACTGATGCAAGTAACTGTCAGGTATTTTTGTTGTGATTTATTTGCTTTATAAAGTCTTACTATCTAAATTAGAGGTATTATTACTTGCTTTATACTTAAATATGAATCTTGTAGTTTATGCAGCAGAGGATACATCAGGAGCAGTGGTCCAACACAAGGGAAGCTTTAAAGTTATTTAAGCAATCTGAGCCCCAATGTATATTTGCATTTGGGGGAGTTGATTTTGAAGTGATCCATTAGTGTTGTGTTGCTTCCTAAAGAAACTCAAGGTGATTTTAACATATAAAATTTATACAATTATCAGTTATACTAGCTAGTACATGTTATTTTATGGTCATCAATCTGAAAAGGATAATAATAGAGGTAAAATATATAAATGGTTAAATTTATCCTATTACCTATCAAATTGCAAGGCAGTCCGTGAAAATGAGAAATGATGATTAATTTTACAGATCAGAAATTCTGGGGTTGGCAAGAGTACTCTGCTCTTGAGTTTTTCTTCTGAGCTTGAGTAGTGTAGCTTCTGAGGCTTATGAGGAGTTGGCAATTTCTTTTTAATTTTGTGGCAAGAGTATTTGGTTGAGTTTCTCTTTTGGCAATAATATTTTTATTTGGCGATACAGTATTAACTATTAAAATCATAGTGTAATATATATTGGCTAATTATAAATGCCTATTGATGAAATCTAATTTTAGCTTTATTAAAGTTAATAGAGTTAAATCCTTTGAATGCTTAATAGAGCTAAGACCTACTTGCCTAGGTACTGCGATTTTAGCTAGCCTTGGTTGTCTTTATTCTATAATATTAATTTTCTCTCTTTTGTCTCATTCTCCAATTAATAACTGACTCTCATGAACCAATTTCTAAAACATAAATCACTGGGATTTTCAAGATCAATCTCACAACGACCCTAGCTATTTAGTATCCAGAAAATTCATTGTATTTCTGACTCTTCAGGTATCTCGTGAAATTTTGATGTGTAATTTCATTTTACACAATTGTACAAATATATTGTTGATGGTAGTTTTTCTATGTAGGGTGAGAACACGTGCTTCCATCGTAAACGGCCGCTTAGAGCTTGGTAATGTCATCTTAGAGAAAATCTCTGCTGTCCTTTGAGTGTGGTCTTCAGAGGAGATTGCCAGTCACCTTTGATATGGTATCCATTAGGTAAGGAATCCAAAAATAATTCAGAATCCTATTATTTATATAGGACTCGTTTAGGAAATATCCTCTTTTTTCTTGATTCATGATCTAATAAGGATTTTCTCTTTAATGCGCTAGATTTTATTTTCTGAGCACACACTTGTACTCTATCGACTCATGACTTTCCCTTGGACTATCATGGCCATTACATGTCTAAGTAACTTGATTGTGCTCCTGGAGTTACACTCTGCTCCTATATGTGATAATCTAATCCATAAGCAAGAGTTACCTTTGCTTATAGGTTTACACCAGAGCATTTTACTGGTGAGTTAACCTTACTCATGAACCATTCGTTTCTGGATTTTTTCTAAAGTGATAAGGATATAATTGAGGGTATAACATATATCATATTTTGATGATCACAATTTAATCTATAACTTGCTGAAACCCAAGATTGGTGCGATCAATTTTTTTGTTCCTGACATGGTATGAAATTTGTTTGGTTTTAACTTCATGTTTTTAATTTAACTGCAGCAATCTCCAGACACTGTCGTAATAAATTGGCATATGCTAAGTAACTATTGGTAAGTTTGAATTTGAACCTAATAATGAACCAAAAATTGTATGTTAATTTCTTGTATTTCTTCTATTCTGTGACTTCAATATGCTATGTACATGATATTACAGAATGTGCAGAGTTCAGAGGAAGATTGGGGTCATTCTTGGTATGCAAGCTGGGGTAGGACTAGTTCTTTATATTGTTTCTCGAAGACAAAGGACTTTGTTTCTGCTATCTTCATTGATGCTGTCCTGAAATTTGATTGAGTGGTGGAGCCCCCTTGATTGCACCTTCATCCAGTTGCTTTACTGCTTGGATTTCTTTTATGGGTTCTGATTTGGCGATTTCTCAAGTATGTTGTCAATCAACTTTGCAGAATGCTGTTTGTGAATATTGTTTCAATTCATTATTTACACTATCAGCGTTGAGTTTCATTTCTATTTTCATGTAATAAAATATTTATTCTTGTTGAAGATATTAAATAGTAGCTTCTTGTTGAAGATATTAAATATTAGCAAGTCTCTGCTTGGTAGAATGAAATAAAGTATTCAAGCTTCCTACATTTAATGAGCAAAGCCTTGAAGGAAGGTTTGAATGTTGATTTACGAAGCAAGATTTTTCTTAGAAGAATTATTTTTGCAGTAATTTTTATGAGTTTTAGTAAACATTTATGTTACTTTTAATTTGTAATAAATTAGTGTAGAATATGAGTATAATAGTAATATCTATAACAGAATAATTATATACGTAGTCGTGAGAAAATAATGTGATCCATTACTATATAGTGTATAGACGTGATAGTTGCAAGGCCCTTCTATTGACTGATACTTGGTTACAGTTCAAGTTTCAATTTTCATTTGGAATGTAGAAACATAATAAGGCTTAGTCTCTCTAATTAACTGGTTTCCTTTTGACTGCTAGGTTTGAGTTGTTGCTAGAAAAGAAATTGTTCGATTACTATTTATTGAAGAGATGTGATAGTTGCAGTGCCCTGGTATATAATTAGAGTGATCCCTGGTACAATTCAAGTTTCAATTTTCATTTGGTTGTTGCCTTTTGACTGCTAGGTTTGATTTGTGGCTAGATAGCCTCCACACCAGAGAATAAAAATTCCACAAGAATAGCCAGCATGTTGCAACTAAAACAAATCTTCTTTCCAACACTTTAATTATATATATAGTTGCTTTGTTTCGTTTTCTCTCCGCTTCGTGATTTTGAAAAGAAATTACTGATCATGAAAGACAGCATTGTTATCTATCCCTCTCTAGGGAAGAAGCCACCTGGTTAATGCTGTCACTAAGATGCTAATTTTGTTTTCAATTTCTGACTTCTCCGGCTTCCTTTCATTTGCATCATGATCTATATATAATTTCTTTCTCCGTAAGTGATGCTTTAGGATCACCTTTTTCCTCATAGGAACCCATTAGCTGTATCTGCTTACTTTTCTTTTGCTGGCTTTAAGCCCTTAGCCAATAATTACGAACACTTTTTATGTACATGAAATTTTAGTAATTTGAGGAATGCTATGGAGCGAAGTGACAAATTCATGGTAGATTATGGTCCCTATTTAACTCGTAATAAATTGCTTGGAGTTATGTGTGACTTAAGCATTCTTGGGAATATTTCTTAAGAGGAGGATATGGCAAGAATCATGCTCCCAGTGAAATCATTCAGCTTATTCTTAGAACTTATATGAGTCAAATTCTTAATAATCAAGTCTTCACTACTTTTAGGTCTCCTTTATAGACTCTTGGTTCTTATGTTTGAGTCCAATTAAGAGGATACTTCTACAGACAATGAGGAAATCTGATGATGGAGGGAAGAATGTGCTCCAGAGGCAGATTGTTTATTCATTCGGTGACCATTATTGCATCAGAAAAGAACTTAAAATACTAAACCTTCTCACTGGGTGTAGAAGCTTTGTGTTGTGGCCTGCTATAAAATTATGCTCTCTTAATGTTCTCAACCTACAGGTATATTTTCCTTCTTGACAAATTCGGTAGAGTAAGATGGCAAGGGTTCGGATTTTCAACACCTGAGGAATTATCATCTCTTCTTTCTTGCACATCACGCCTTTTCAAGGGGAATGAGTTAACCAAAGAACATAGCATATTCGTAACTTTTAGATCATCTTGAGTTTAAAAAGCAAGACTCTTGAATTTAGTGTCCTGTCAAGTTCTGTAATTCTGTGAAAAAGATTTCTGGTTACAACTTTCCTTTTGTCAAAGAACATAATTTATACCCTGCATTTGCTTGCTGTGAAAAGCATGGCTGAGAATTCTCGTTGCCAAAGGTGGGAATTACTTGAGTATTTTAAGCACAATGAGAGAATTTTGTTGAAGAGGACCTGAGTTATAATTTCTGAAAGCAACTGAGAGAAAATAAAAAATGGATTACGTTTAGAGTTCAGTGAAATATTTTTGGAAACTCTGAGTTCTTTTTTTAATTTCTGTCTTTTGTTCAGCATTGGGTACAAATATAGCACTTTGTGTAACATTCTTAGGAAACATATTCAATATCAATCATTAACATAAGGAAACATATTCAATATCAATCATTAACATAAGGAAACATGCAAGTAGAATGGTAAATGGAGAAGATAATCTAGTTGGTTAATTCAGGTTAAATCTCGTACTGCGAAAATAAATGGGTTAGGGATCAATCTTTTACAGTACCAATTTTGGAGGGGATCTGTTGAAGTGCAAAATGGAATTGAAATAATATGTTTCCTCAATGAAACAATATTATATTTTCCTATTCTAAGAGATTTTAGGCTCCGTTTGACTTATAATTTCTATCCATTTTCCCTATCTTATTCCTAAAATACTTGTTTGTTTTGTTATTTGAGAAATATTAGTATATTTTTTAATTACTTTTAGACCCCTTAAGTTTATTAATTTCATATTAATACCCTCAGAAAAAAATTTAAAAATTAACAAAAACACCCCAATCCACCAATACTTGCCAGATTCCAGCAACCACCGTCAGTGGTAGCCAGAATCTGTCACAACAGCCTACAAACGACCGAAACTGTCCGGTAATTCACCCATCTTGCCTTTTCTGGCCAAATCCACTAAAAAGGTTAGATTTGGCCGTTAATGATAGCCAAATCTTGGCCATCTTTGATTGACAATGATGGCCATATCTTTGGCCGTCGTTGACGACCAAATTTGGACTTTTGCGGCCGTCGATCTGGTTGTAGATCTGGCCAGAAAAGGCCATCTCGACGCTCTACCCGCCAGATCTGACCGGTCTGCGTCGTAATGCCATTTTCCGGCCAGATTCCGGCAGTGGTAGCCAGAATCTAGCATTGTGGGTGGGTGGGGGTGTTTTTGTCATTTTACAAAATTTTTATATATTGGGGTGTTTAATTAAATTAGTAAACCTAGGGGGTTTTTTTGTTAATTTTTAAATTTTATCTCATAATACTCTCCTATTCAACTAACCAATATTATTTCCAAAATCCTATCCAAAATAACAAAACAAACGGACCCTTAGATATTATTATAATATTTTTTTTATTATATAGCCTAATTTTTGTATAAATAAGCAATGTTGATTCAATTATAAATTGAATTCACTAAATTATCTCTTTGAGTTTCCTTTGTTCATAATTTCAACAGAATCTATTTTTTGAATTAGGTTTTCTCACATATCTATTGGCATCAGAGTAAGAGGCTTGAGTTGTGCTTTTTTTTTTTTTTTTTCTTAATTATTATCTCTAAAATGAGACAAATGGCTCTTTCCTGAAAGGCAAAAAACTTCAATTTGAATGCATAATACAAATATATCTTTGGTTTCCCTCCATAAATATCGATAGAACATCCTAGCTAACGTTTATTAATTCTGTTAGAATGAAGCACACAAAAAACGCTGCTGTTGTATCTTTAGTGCAACGCAACCGTTTTATCCTTGTTTTAAAAGAGATTGAATCCAGACCATTGAAGAGAAAATCATCTAACGGCTAGGACTTATTCTAACCAAAACAGAACGCAAAAAACGACTTTACCTTGCTGCTGCGTTTTAGTCTGCTGCTGGGTTTTATTTTTCAGTTTTGTGTATTCTGTGTAAAGAAAAATCTGCTCTGTATCGTCTCTTTTCTTGGCTGGAATCTTTGTGTGGTTGGTTGAATCACTGGTAAGGGTTGTGTTTCCCTTGAGTCTTGAGGCTTTGATTTAGAGTTCTCATAGGAAAGATTTCAGGTTGTTGTGAGAGTGAGATACGCTGTTTTGGAGTGGGTTTGGGTGTAGAATCTGTTTGTATCAGGTTGTATTAATCTTTAGTGAAGCGAGCTCCTGAGTTTCTTGAGCTCAACGTGGATGTAATTTATCCCATATAGGATAAGTGAACCACGGTAAAAATTCGTGTGTCCTTTGTTCTTGATTTCTTTACGTTCTTTGTTTGTGTGTTGTGTGTGAAATTGGTGGATGATTTTGAGTGATAATAGTACAGATTATCTCAACAAATTCCAATATAAAATGACTTGTGTTTTCTTTTCTAAATAAATGATAATAGAATATAATTCTCTAAGGCACATGCCTTACAAGAAAAGTTGAGCATAAGTAGGTGTATGATTATCTACCGGAAGTCATATGCCCTTCACTCTATCAACTCAAGAAAAACCTCAATTAATATTCATCCTCACTTTCAAAATTCGAAATCCAGCTGTTGAAAGATTCATGTCCTTATAACCACATGATTTTTGG